AAACCAACCATGTCCTTAGTTTTCATTTATGTTGACTGTGTGATGAGAATTTTGGAATTGAAGTTTCTGATATATTAGGTTTCAGTTTGGTACCAACAAAAATTCACTTTAATCTTTGAGTTTTAGCTTAAGTTAATGGCATGGTTGAATTCGTGGTGAAATTTAGAACAACTTTCATGTTTACATTTAATAAAATGATTGAGAATTGAAGGAGTTAGAAATTTGAACAATGTTGATGTTGTTGCTCGAGCGAGGAAGAAGATGAAGATCATCTTCCAATTTTTGAAAATGAGTTTGTAATATATTTATCGGCGAACGTTTCATAACCGGATGAAACAGTCACCCCAGTAGTAAAACAAGCATGGATTAATATGAGGGATCTAGGTTCGAGCCCCAGCGGTACCCTTTTGTTTTTTTCATATATTTTGCTTGCAGATCCAGCGTACCAAGCTTCCATAAGTCCATCATGTGCTCTCACCTCATCACCATTAGATCTCATCCAAGGCAGATCCAACACACCAATCAGCATGCCCACGATATACCTTTGTAAAACCATCCCCATTGGATCTCAATACAGCGCATGGGCTGCTCCTTTTGGGCCCAACACTTTTTTCTTTTCACCCCCCCAATTGCTTTTATAACTCAGGCCCATTAAAATTCTTTTTTGTTGTTTTTTAATTAACTATTTTTTTCTTTAAATAATTTTATTTAAAATCAGAAAAAAAATCATAAAAATGATAAAACGTTTAGATTTAGGTTTTTAATTAATCAATTTAACTTTTGACAAATAAAAATTAATTTAAATTAATCACTTTGATTTTATTTAATTAGAATTAGGTTTTATACTTCAAATATCTTTTTCTAAATAAAACACCAAAAATATTTTTCTAAATACTTAGAATTCTTTATGTTTTAATTAATTAATTTAATTTTCATAAATAAAATTAATTAATTTAATCACACTTTATTTTATTTTAAATAATTAAATTGTAAATTAAATTAGAATTAGGTCTAGTTTTTTATTTTACATTTCAAATATTTTCTAAACAAAGAAACAACAAAATATTTTCTTAAAATACTTAGAATTTTTAGGGTTTTTGCATCTTTCCCCTTTCTATCTCCGCGCATTTGTTTATTTTTCGCATTTATACAATTATGTAATTGTCAAAAGTTTGTAATAGATAATTAGGGTTTATTACTTTCCTCCACCATTCATGAATTTGTATCCCCATCCCAAAAGCGTTTGTAATAGCGTAGGACATTTAATTTCCACAATTTATTGATTTCCTTATTACTGTTAGTAATTAGGATTTGTATGGAAAGATTAAAATCAATCATTAGAAAAACCTAATATCAAAGAAAAATACTTGAAATTAAAACACTTTACACACCTACACCTCTAAGGTAACCTCACTTGATGCCTCGGATATAAACAATCATGTCCCGCGAATGTGGGATGCTTTAGCAAAGACCCTCGGTTAAAAGATCATAGTCCCTCAATGACCCTTCGGTAAACGATCTTAGTCCCTTACGACAATTACTAAAAACATCCTACAAGTTTTCTTCTATAACTTTTCGATAACCCACGCCTGTCCCTCACATCCAATAATAGGGCTTTCTACTAACCAATGGCAGGATAGCACTATCTAAAGGAGGAGGAAAAGAACAAAGACCTTTTGAGTAGGTAGATCGCTTGTAATCGCTTGCTCATAAACTAAAACAAATCTTTACACTTTACACTTTCAAAACAACTACTTTCAAAATGCTTTATAAACACTCTTGAGGATTGATACAAGGGTTATTATAAAGAAAATTACCTTACATTGGCATTTTCAAAACATCTTTTCACAAAGCAACACTTTCTTTCATAAATATTTTCGAAACAAACATTTTGTATACATTCTCAACGATACGAGAATCATTACAAAATTGTCGTACATAGGCATTTTCAAAATATTTTCAAACATACACAAAAACAAAGCATTTTCAAAGTGAGCTAGAAATTAAGAGCCCGTAGATAACTACAGATGAAAAGGGTGATAACACCATCCATTTTTATAACCTACCCCCCGAACTCAGAAAATTCTCAAAGGTCTTTCCTGTTCTTTTCACACTTTCCTTTATTGGATAAAAGAAAAGTCGGTGGCGACTCTTGCTATCCGTAACATTTGCGATAAAATGCAAAACCCAAAAGTCAGTTCTCCCACCGTATAACAGTTGGTGTCATCTTTTATCTCTACCTTCAGTGGAAGTTGGCAGATTATCTTCAGTAAAAGTTGGTGTTTTTCTCTCTACCTTCAGTGGAAGTTGGTAGATCACCTTCAGTAAACGTTGGTGTCATCTTTTATCTCTACCTTCAGTGGAAGTTGGTAGATCACCTTCAGTAAAAGTTGGTGTTTTTCTCTCTATCTTCAGTGAAAGTTGGTAGTTTACCTTCAGTAAGCGTTGGTGTCATCTTTTATCTCTACCTTTTGGTGGAAGTTGGTAGATCACCTTCAGTAAAAGTTGGTGTTTTCCTCTCTACCTTCAGTGGAAATTAGTAGACCACCTTCAGTAAAAGTTTGTGATTTCTCTCTACCTTCAGTGGAAGTTAATAGATCACCTTCAGTAAAAGTTGGTGTTTTCTCTCTACCTTCAGTGGAAGTTGGTAGCTCATCGTCAGTAAAAGTCGGTGTATTCTTTGATCCTCTACCTTCAGTGAAAGTTGGTAGTTCACCTTCACTAAACGTTAGTGTTATTCTTTTATCTCTACCTTCAGTGAAAGTTGGTAGTTCACCTTCAGTAAACGTCGGTGTGTCTTCTATTTCTTTACCATCAATAAAAGTTGGTATTGTTCTATGTTTTTCTACCTTCAACTATTGAGTTGGTAGTTTACCGTCATCTATGAGTCGGTATATTATTGATCTTCTACCTTCAACTATTGTTTGGTAGTTTACCATCATCTATGAGTCGATATATTATTTCTTTTCTACACTCATCCATTGAGTTGGTAGTTTACTATTCCTTGTTAATTTGATACTATTCTGTTTTTTTCTACCTTCGTTTATTGAGTTGGTAGTTCACAGTTATCTGTCGACCATTTTTATCCATTGCTTTTTCCTCATTATTTGAGTTGATGATGTCTTAACTCCTCTTTGGGCTTTACCCTAGTAGAGTTAAGTCTTCTGTTCCCCAGTGATTTATTTTCCTGGTCGAACTTTCTTTTGATCCTTTATTTTATTTCCCGTATCCCCAGTGGTGTCCTGTGTCACCTTTGGATTTGTTTGTTTGCATGCATGATCATAATCATTTCATGGCATCTTAGGACCAAAAAATAGGGCTTGTTTTATATTTAAGTATCTTCAATCGTGTCGAGACGAAGATTTTAACCTTCGCATCTCCGGATAGAAGACACTTAAATAAGGGCAGCTGTTATATCCCAATTTTTGCCCCTAAGATCCCTATATAATCTCATACCATCATAATTCAACAAGATCACACATTAGGGTTTGGGTATTTTTTCTACTTTACCCCATATTTTATACTCTTGAGGGATTACCAAGCACCTTGAATCGTGTATCTTGTATATATGTGTTTTATATTTTACTGACCTCTAACCAAAATCAAAAAATATATCTTGTTTATTTTGTTTCTTGTAAGACAGGGTTTCCGATCAAGAAATTCAGGTGATGATTCTCCGATTAGGGTTTTGATTTGTTCAGGCCAAAGATGGTTCCCAAAAGACTATGTTTCAGAGTGTTGATCTATAATCTTAGGTCACACTATCCTCAAGCTTCATTCAACATAGTTAAGGCGAGTTTGGTTGCTTAATTCTCGAAATTCTTCGACATAGGTTTAGCTGTTTATTTCCATGTCTCCTTTGACGAATAATCTCAAGTCCAGATAGCTGTGAGCATGATTTAATTAATACTTTATTATTTCAAGCCCATGTGTGATTAAGAGTGCTTCGGGTTGTGAAGAAAGACAAATTATGCAGTTAATTCAAAGTTGGTTGACTGAAAGTCAATTTCGAGTTCAAATAATCATAACTTCTTCATTATTCATTATTTTTTGGTCTCTTCTTCGAGCATATGAATCTCCTTGATGTCATCTCCAATTTCTCTTTACAAGTCGAGAGCTAATTATGTGTAGAAGGCCATCAGAAGTTTTGAGTATATTAGAGGTTGTTTTGAGGACTTTGACCCATTTTCAAAGTGCTGGTCGTCCAACTTTTGATGATCACAACTCTTTCAATTTCCATTGTTTTGGGACAATTCGTTTTGCAACATGTCATAAATGGCGTTATCTACAAACTTGCTTTAAGGGTCGAATTCGAATTATGCTTAGAAGGTTATGGAATTTGTTGAAGCTTTATAGGTCATTGCGACTTAGGTTGATTCCGATCTCTAAATTCAATTCATACCATAATTATTATATTGAGATCATCCTTTGTTAAGTGGGAATTTTGAAGAATTATGGGTTAGTTGTTGGTTGTGTTTAACATTATTAGCTTGAATTAGAGTTGGACTTTTGATTGAAAATTCTTTTTAGTCATGGCATGATTATTAGAAATTCAAGGTCATTGTTTCAAGTCAAAATTTAAAGTTAAAAGGTGATTCTAAATTCAAATGTCGAGGTTTTTTCAATGGAGGAAATTTCTTGTTTCCATGAATTTATAGATTACAGAACTTTTATTTTGGTTCAAGGTAATGTTCAAAGATCATAATCTCAAGTACAAATGTCATGATCATTTCAAAATTCAAGTATCATTCAATGTTCAATGCCAATTCCATCCATGAGAATTTCTTCAAAGGGCAAGTTTATCCAAGAAGATCATTTAGAATTTAAACTACAAAGTACTTCATCAATTCTTGCAAGAATTCAAAGTTCCAAAATTAAAAAATTCACTTTGTATCTAATGGAATTTAAGGGTACAAGTTCAAAGTTACAAAAGCCTTGAAAGTTTTCTTCAACCTCAAGTAAGTTTGTTTCCATGCCATTCCTCCATCTCACGGTTTCTTTTATTCATCAATGATCATTGTCCCTGGAACAAATAAAAATATCAAAGTATCATGAGAAAGTTGAATAACAAATAATCAAGATACAAAAAAGCTTCAAGTTAAATTATCAATGCTACAAGTACCATTCAAGCTTCTATCCTAAGTTTCATCATCCAACCTACAAGAATTCTCAAGTTCCCTTACCTAAGTTCCAATACTTTTAGAATACATTAGTGCTTTCTTCAAGATCCACTCCAAGCAAGTTTAGCCTAGGATTTCTCTATGTATTTTCAAGGTTTCCTCTTCATAATCACACCATCCATCAACATAAAAAAATGATGAAGAAGATGAAGTTAGCAATCTCAATTCCATATCCCAAGATTCAAAGGTTCATTCAGAGAAATCTCAACAAAAGCAATCACAACAGCTCAATTTGTTTTCATCATGTTTATTCCATAATTCATCCAAAAAAACATATCACAAAAAATGCAAATTCCAAAAAAAAAACATTAGTAGTTTTCATTCATTCAAGTCCAATATTACAATTCATTAACATCACAAAGAGTACAAACAAGTGGGAATTAGGGAGACATTAGAGCAATTTTCGTGGGCCTCTTTGAGGGCAAATTTTGACACTTCATTTCTTACAAATTTTCCACCGAACAATATTTCATCTTAGCCCGACTCATTCACATTGAAAACCCTAAATTCTAAGCTCTATATAAACAATCATTTTCACACTGACACAAGATTGGACAGATTGACAAAAATTCAGAAACTTAAAATCAAAAACTTACCTCGCCGGAATTCATACCTCGCCGGAAAACCGAGCAACACCCTCCCATCGCCAGAAACTGACCGAATCCTTTCTCTCTCTCACATCTGAGACCGTGCCGGAACTCCTTCTTTCCCAGGAAAGCCTCTGTCCCACACCTCCGTCCACCACCAAAACCCGCAGGAAATTGCAACCACCGCGCCATAATCCTTTTCCTCCGCCGTTTTCCGTTCCTCTTCTTCTTAAAAGGTTAATAACCTCTCTCTTAAGCCGAATCCATCATTCTTTCTTTGATTCTGTGACTATTTATTATTGTGATAAACAAAATCTTTTCAAGTTTCATTTGTAGATCTACTGTTTTTATAAACTTCTTTTTAGAAAACTATTTCCGGATTTGCAATCAGAGGGAGAAACAGAGCACGAAAAATGTAATTTTTTTTTGGATCAGATGCTTTTCGCGATGCTGCCACTGTGAGGCTGGCTGGTCGCCGCTGTACTCATCTTTGTCTCCGCCTTGCTTGTTCTTCTCTCTCTGTTTATAAAAAGGTAATAAGGAGATATGAAGAGGAATATAATACAATTCATTTACCTCATTTTTGACTTTGTGTAATTTTTTTGAAATTTAATCTTACTTTTTGCTATTTCTAATTTTTCCCCACCTTTTTGAGTGGTTTTTATTAATTAAAAGATACTCTAATGTATTAAAAATTCTGAAAAAAATTGTCAATACTTCTTTTCTGATACTTGGGGGTAATTTTTTGGAGTTTTTATTTAGTGTTTTTGATATACTATGTGTATTTCATCAATAAATTCCAATTAATCAACCATATTTTTCTTTTGTTTTTGTTAATTGCAATTATATCTTGTATATATTTTATTGCTGGAATTGAACCATTGAATTTTAGGTCATAGACTTCATTAACGTCATTGGATCTTGAGTGTTGAGTTCAACTCCACCAAAATGGATGGATGATTTTAATGATAATTTGATTAAATTCTTTGATTCAAATGTGGAATTTAATCCTTATCTATTTCTTCTTCATCTTATTTATTTTTTAACTTTTCTTGTGCTATAAGTTTTATGAGTATGGTTTCTATCATTTCTCTAACTTGTGTAGTACACACATTGTTATTGACCGACCTCAAAACAGGTGCAACTTCTAAATAAGTCCACTTACAATTGCTTAACATAGTGTTAAATTTTGTCCCGATTAGAGAAATGATCATTCGCGGCCCAAATCTATGTTTGCAAGCCCAAGTATATTTAATTTGAAACTTTTGATACAATAACCTTGAGGTTCATTGTTAGGAGGCTTTGGTTTTATTAATCATCTAATGAACCATCATAAAATTTGGTCTAAGTGAATCATTTAAACATCGTTGAACATATGTTGTTGCATCGAGAACTTGAAATAAATGATATACTTGACATAAAGAAAGTGAAACTTGTTATCGAGAAGCTTTGATTTTATCAATCTTTTAATGAGTTTTCAAATGCAAGTTTCAAGATGGTCATTTAACTAACCTCTAACTTCTAACTCACTAACAATTGAATTTTACTTTATTCTTTTATTTTATGCCTTTACTTTTACGCACAATTTATTTTAGCATTTACATTCCATGTTATTTTATCTTTGCTCACTTGAGAATTTATCTTTATGTCATTTTTATTTTGCTCACTTGAGCTTTCATTCTCTTTTTGAAGATACTTAATAACCAACTTGAACATTAAAAGAACTTTAAGGTTACTTGGACTATTTGGTTACTATCCTTGGCATCAAGGAGTTGTGGACCTCAAGGACTTAGGATTAGAAATCTTGATTACCCTTGGGACCTTGTGATTCTACTTTTATTTTGTCTAGAGTTCTTGAGGTTTATCCCAATACATTGGGTTGTTTTTTTCTTAGTGTGCAGGTTATTCTGATTATGTGCCTTGTATGTGATTGAGAATTCCTCTGTATACAGTTGTTAATCTGTCCAATTTTTTAGAAGACTTAATGCATCTGAAGCTTGGTATTATTAAGAGGTTTAGTATCTTTGCTTGCTTGGTTTCAATCCAAAGGATGGAAATTCTACATTGACTATTTGTGTCAAGTGTTGGCTTCTTGTTGGTTAGACGGTTATTTTCCCTAGCTTTTACCTTATGCTTTAGGATAGCCCCTTCATCTCCTCCCATTTTCTTTAATTTCAAAAATCTTCTCCCTCCTTTTCAAAGCTCTTCTTGTTTTCTAACTTGAACCACTTTCATAATAAACTTGGACTTAGGTCCATGCATTTAAAAAATATTTTCTTAATTAAACTTTAACAAACTTAATCATACTTTGACATTTTTGTGAGAAGACTAAAAGTCAATCAACCTCATTCAAACCATTTTGCCACTTTGACTTTTTACTTTAAAATTTTCTCAAAAGATTAGACTCTTGTCAATCCTTGTAGTGATGTGAGCTACTATACTTCTACGATATATAATAAAGTGAGATATTTTCCACTTGGATGTTGAGTGAGTCTTTGTTGATTTTAAGATCCAAGCTATATCCTCCACTTTGAGATGATGCAAATTCTCCTTTCTCATAATCTTGGGTAGTAAGTATGTTTTCCACTCGGATATAACCATGCTGTCTCGTCTCTTAAAAGTAACCAACACACTTGTGTTTTCAATTTTTTAAAGGTGAACTACGAGTTCCTTGATCCCCTATTACACGAAAGGTGGTACGTAGGAACTAAAAGTTCATAACTACGGCAGGTGTAAAAATTGTAAAAAATATATCTTTTTTCATCTCCACCATCTATTTTTGTATACAACACATATAGCCAAAATACACAAATTTCAAAGAGGTTCCTACAGAGTATCATAGATGTTTAGGGTGCTAAGACCTTCCTTTTGTATAACCAACCCCCGTACCTAGATTCTCTCCCTTTTTTTGGGTTATTGGCTCTTTTCATATTCCTCTGGAAACAATAAAGCGCAGTGGCGATATTTATTTGATCCATGCGAGTTAAGTCAATTCAATGACTTAGTCTCAACATTTCTACCGCTACAATATGATACTAATATTTTTTTGAATCAAAAGAGATACTTTATTAAAGATTCAAAAATACAACGAGGTTCAAGTGATCACTAGGATCCAACAAACAAAGGGACTAAGTCCACCAAAACAAAACTACACAATCATAACAGCGAAAACACGATATGTTTCCTAATCTTAGGTCTGGTCAGCATCTGTGAATCATAATATCCATGATTTTCTACACAATGGTTTCCTGCTTAATCTTATTACCAAAACTAATATTGTTCTTGTAACGCCAACACTCATCAATGGTCTCGGTGAAAGCACATTGCACAATCACTTTTTTCCAGCCTTTCTTTTTAGAGATCTGCGTAATCTAGTTAATCTCTTTCTTCCAAGTACCAGGAGCTTTAGAAATATTAATTCACTACATAAATTATTTCCAAATGGGCCTAATACCAAGACACAACAACAACAGGTGTTCCTGTGTTTCAGTCTCTCCATAAAAATAACAAGTTAAGTCACTAATCATGCCAAATCTCAGTAATCTCTCTTTGGTGGCAAGACTAAGATGGCAAGCCATCCATAGAGTATGGATACATTTAGGCCTAGCAATGTCACCAAAGAAAATGAATTTCCACGGGAAATTATGGGGTTCCTTCTCCAATAAGTTTTTTTGTGTGTAGAAACTAAGGACTTCATTCTCAATTTTAGTTTGGTTGGTAATATGTCTACCATTATTATCCTTCATACTCTTAATGTTAGCTTGGCTAAATTTGCTCTTCAAATTCACATAGAAGTAAGAATTGTTGTTTTCCCCAAGCCTGATCTAGTTTATCTTAGCTCATTGTCTTAGCAGATTTTCCTCAATATTTGAAAGGTTAATTACATTCATGGTGAAATCTCTAACCTTATCAATTTTGGAAATGTTCAACTTTTCTACCAGAAGCTCCTCCTTAGAAACATTCAACATGTCCCTGGCTTCCTCAATTTGGTGCCCAATGCCAGCATAAGGCTTCATCAATTTCCTGATGATGGGTTGCAGCTCTGTAGTTTTTTCCAAATAATCTACATAGGCTGCCTCTGCATATCCATGTTCTAGTTTTCATCTACAACTTCCATAAACCCATTATTCGTAGTGATAACATTAGGGAGTTTGAAGGTTTTACTTCTAGGATGAGCTCCAACAGAGTAGTGCAGACTGAGCAGAGCATGATCAGAAACACCTGCAACTATGATTCTAAGAGTGGTGTTCAGATTTTGTTGATGCCACTGAATGTTGCCAATGACATGATCTATCCTTGAGTAAATAATGCCATGGTTGTGTTTGTTGGACCAAGTGAAATGGTCACCTTGGCTGTCTTTCTCAAACAAACGCTTTCTGTCCATCATTTCCACCAAATCCTTATATTCATTTTCATGAACAGGTTTACCACCAATTATGTCCTAAACATTCATAACATTATTATAGTCACCCATTAAGAACCAAGGGTTCGTTACTTGGTTGTTAAGATTCTCAATATCCAACCACAATTTCCTTCTGTGCTCTAGGGAATTTGAAGCATAAATATTTGTGCACCATGACTATAACTCACCACCTGGTTTGAATATTCTAAAGTGAATAAATTGATCACTTTTTGAAACTTCTACAATGTTTACCTTGTTCCTATTCCACATGACCCAGATGCGACCATTGTTATAATTTTGGTAATTATCTATATAAGACCATATTCTACCAATCTTATTCCTAATAGAGTTAGCTTTATTATGTTTAACTCTAGTCATAACCAAAATACTAATATCTGGGTGAAGTTTATGGAGACATGTTGCAATCTCCCTATAATTATCAACATTATTAAGCCCTCTAACATTCCAGGGCACGATCATGGGACATGGCTAGTGGCCACTGTAGGATCATCTCCAATCCTCAGGGCAACAAAACCATTTTTGAAGGGTATGTCTTTGTTGTACCCCAAAATTTTCCCTCTCATTTTATCAAGATTCCCCTCACAAGACTCTTTGGACTCCAGACAGGATTAGGGTTTGCTCAGCTCAAGACACCTCCTTACACTGTTGACCTGAAATTAGGGTTTGAGTTTGCACAAGGAATTTTGGACTCCCAATGCCTCATGTGACTTTCATACTTCATGTTGGACCTCTAAGATTGTTCATACCAAGTTTCAAGCCTTGAATCAAA